GCAAGGCCCGTAAATTATAGAACAGTCTACCAGTTAATTTATAGGATGTCTCGGAGTCTGAGTCTGTCTCAGTGTTTAGATTGCGACTGAAGACCTATATTTTAGCTGCAACCCCCTAGTTGAGAAGCACTGCCCTTTTCTGGGTGGGGGCTGCAATTGTCCCTGCGGTGGTCCTCCTGGTGTTCTCGTGCCCTGAGGGGCCTCTGGATGTCTGGGGCCCGGGTCTCCTCCGTGTCGGCTTCATGTCCTGGGTGGGCGGGGCTGTGGCTCCCCACACACACTACTAGACATTTACATGGAGAAACCTTAGGAACACCAGCGCGCTGACACACACAGGTGTGCACACAGGTGCTCACGGACGCGTGCTCACGGACACACACTGTCTTGATTGGCTGTTGCTTCTGGGCATGTGTTGTAATGCTGGTTGTGTGTGCTGTTCAATAACATTTAACATTTGGTGGTCGTTGTGGTTAGTACAGATGTTGTATGTTGTCTTTCTCTTTTCAGCAGACATGGAAGCAGATTATCTGTTTTGTTTTTTTCTTTTCTCCCTTTTTTTTTTCTTTTCCTCTCTCTCCCTCTATCTCTCTTCCCCCCTTCTTCTCATTTGTTTCCCCCCCCCTCCCTCTCCTTCTTTTGAGGAAGTAAATAAAAATATAAAATAAATAAATAAATAATAAAATAAATAAATAAATAAATACAAATAAAGTAGTCCTCCGCAGAGGGGGGGTGGAGGAGGGAATATTTATAAAAAAATAAATAATAAAAAAATATATTCCATAAATTGCAGTGATACAGCGTTGTTGTGTTTCTGGTTCCCACTGTGTGTAACTTTGTTTGCAATTGTACAGTGATTTGAGATCTGAAAAATATATGCTTTCTTTCAACAGTGAAGGGTGCATGCTTTGATATGGAGCTTAGCAAAGTTGAAACTGGTGTCTGACATGTATCAGTTTGCTAAAGAAAAATGATCAATCAGTGACAATGAGAAAGTGGGAACCAGCTATCATTCAGATTCATGGAGCGAGCACACTGACATTTTGACAATGTATCTAAGCATTTTAATTGACATAGTTACTGTTTTTTTCTGAATGCTTACGCACAATTTCTGAAACCGTAACTTTTTTGCTACACACAAACCCTGAAAACACTAGCACAACATGACGAGCATCACAAAACTCTAGAGATAGGCCACATTTCATTCAAAACTATGTAAACCATTATATAAAAAAGGACACTTGTGCATCAAAGCTCTACAAACAGATTAACAAATGAACACACCACCCTAATCACGAACTACACTCTGACCCATTATGCATTTTCATTGTACAATGCACGGCAGTCCCTGTAAATGATTTCAAGTATTTAGGCGTTTATTCAATACAAATGTAGTAAAATAAACAATTAAACAAGGGGGGAAAAAAATCAAATTTCCAAAATCAAATACATTTAACCCCATGTTTGGGCAGGAACATTATTGTATTGTATGCTTCTGGGCAAAAAATACAGAAACAGGGGATACAGAAAAAAGGGAATAACTATAAAAGGGTAAAATTAGGCTGCAACCTGACTCCTGTTTGGATCTGGACACAACACTTCATCTAGGCCACAAGAAATGTTCTCCCTGGCAAGACAATCTTCTGGAATGATGTATCCAGCCCTGGAATGCCCCCCCCCCCCCACCACTGACATTTGTGAATGATTCATAAACCAGTTTTGGACCATAGCAGACTAGTGGAAACTCACATTATCCCACATGATAGTCATTAGAATCAGAATGTTGAGGACGGTGTGGTGCCTTATTTTTTTAGCCAACGCCATCAGCTTTCCTCTCTGTAATTTGGTTTTGTCCTTATCCTCCTCNCTTCCTCTCTGTATTTTGGTTTTGTCCTTATCCTCCTCCCCCTTCCTCTCTGTATTTTGGTTTTGTCCTTATCCTCCTCCCCCTTCCTCTCTGTAATTTGGTTTTGTCCTTATCCTCCTCACCCTTCCTCTCTGTAATTTGGTTTTGTCCTTATCCTCCTCACCCTTCCTCTCTGTAATTTGGTTTTGTCCTTATCCTCCTCACCCTTCCACTCTGTAATTTGGTTTTGTCCTTATCCTCCTCCCCCTCTTCTTACCCCCTGACCCATTTCACTCCTTTCACCACCTCTTCATCTGCCTTGATTTCTTGCCTGGTTGTTGAGCTCCATCTTAGCAAACAAACAGCTTAACTGAGGCCCCTTATACATTCATTTTGCATAACAGTTCCCTCATTGGTTGATTCGACATTTAGAATGTTGACCTTTGAGAAATGTGCCAAAGCAGAGAAAAACTGTAAACAGAGGTTCTCCAAACCCTCACAATGGATTTAGGGGTCTCTCTCAACCAGTCTTTGGCATAGTTGCTGAAGAATTCCATCTTCCTGGCTGTCAATTAGGATTCAAATTCAAGGATGTGAAAATTTTATTGTTACCTGTACTACAGTTTCTCATTTCCTTTGGAGCATTTTTCTCAAATGACAATTAACATTTTCAAAACAAGTGTGATCCCCGCACTATAATGTCACTTCTGCACAGCAGAACATCATTTCTCATTGCTTCCCACAAATTTCCAAATGCTTTAGTACACATATGCAAATGGTTTTGTACAATTGTCATCTTTTGGTATAATTATAAGCTGCTTTAGTCTCTTTGGTCAAAGTAGATTATGTGCGTTCCCACTGTAATAATTTCACAACCAAAACTATATGTGTTTGTGATTATCATGCTAGCTACCATATTCAAAACAATTAACCAAGCTTTCAAAATGATTTTAAAATATATTCCATAAATTGCAGTGTTGGGGCATTGTTTTGTTTTTGGTTTCCACAGTCAGGTGTGCCACAAAAGGTGGGGGGTGGTGGATGTTAGGATGATTCCAAGAGCCCCTGTCAGTGAGGGCCCAAAACATCTAACAATGCTAGCTAACTAACAATGCAGAGACGCTAATTTCAAACATTCAGATACTATAGTATATTGTTTTAGGAGCACCATTAACATCTGAACCTTAACTGATCAACATATAATGAGCCGGAGCAGGTACTTAAATACACACAAAGCTAACAAGACAACACAGGACAGGTGAGAACAATACCCAAGTAACCAATCACAGAAAGGACAAGACAACGAGCAACATGTGGGGTTTATTAACAGAACTAGAAAGTTTCCGACATCAAAACTAATAGGCGTAAACCAAATACTAGTGGTACAATACAATGCAGAACAAAAAGGTACAAACAAAAACCAGAACAGAACACAAGAAGGGCAAACTGATGACAGAAACAATCAGGAAGTAATAAACACTGGGGTAACAGAAAAAAAAGAACAATAAATACAAAATAACAGATAAGTGTGGCACCTGGCCAGCTTTGAAGCCATAACCACAGGGTTAACAGTGTGAGCCACCCACTCAACCTGCTGAGCTAAGCAGTTGTTTTAGGGAACTTTCAAAACACTAGGGACAGACACATTGAGGCTAAAAGGCAAAGCAACAGGGAGGACAGCAATCTGCTGGGCAAACGGGGAGGAGACACAAAGGGCAGGGCGGATGGAAGCCAACCCTGACAATACACACACACATGCACACGTTTGTGTTCAATATCTTTGTGGGGACCATCCATTCATTTCTATGGGAAAAACCCTAATCCCAACCATGATAACCATAACAATAAGTAGCCAAACAAAATACAAGACTTTTGCCATTTTTTGCTGATTATTTAAATCTAGTCGATTGAATTCTCATTTATAACCACGCTTTGTATGTTCCATCCTGGGACCGTATTCCAGAAACTTCCTGACTTGCAGATCCTGTGTTAATGCAGTCTTGAGATCCTTCCCAGGTTTTTAAAACGTGAAGGGCAGCCATCTGTAAAAGGATCACACCTTGGTACAGGTGGAACCAAGGTGATACCATGATCCACACCTTGCCCCACACGACCCTCTGGACCGCAGGGTCGGTCAACGACCACTGTCATGGTGACACCCCCACTAGAAGATAAATACCTGGCACTCCCCATCAGACTGAAAAACTCCTTTTGGATGAGAGGTGAAACGTTTTAAAGAAATTGAAAAAAAGAAGTCCAGTTGCCTTCGATTATGGGCGAGATCTGTTGCAACGTAGTTTTCAATGTAACTGAGAGGTTAGGTTTGTTTAGGAAAACGCCTACTGAGTTTGATGGGTGACTATGGTAGTTAAATTATATCAGCAGCAATTAAAATTAAGTTGCAATTTAAACAAAATCGTTTAAATTACAATTCAAATGATATTTTTTTTTGTTTAAATTACATATTTATAAATTCATCATTTTAATGACAATTTTATTTGTAATTTAAATAATCATTTAAACATTGTCACAAAACACCCTCTATATAACGGCTCACTTTTGTTTCACCATAGCATGGTTAGGGAGTATCTTCCGGGATCGGTTCCAGGACTCCTGCCACCCTGAAATGGATCAGTGGTTGGAAGACGGATGGATGCAATTTCAATGGACTCACAGTATAACATAACTATTCTGGAGTTAAAGACATAATTCAAGTAAAGTGCAACAGTGTAGGTTAATTAAAAGAAACTTTCAGGGGGAGCGAGACCCCATAAAGCAGAGTAATGCCCCGGACGGGGAATGCGGGTCAAAGGCAACAAAACCACACACTATTAGCCATGCAGAGACGTTAATTTCAAACATTCTTCTATAACATATTGTTTATGAGAGCTATTGAAAATCTGAATTAAACCCCAACCTTGCGAGATCGATCAACTCATCAGATTCAAGATCAGACAAATATTTAATATTATTTCAGATACAAACAAATTAATAAAATGGAAAGGTAACATGTTCCACGACAGCCTTCCTGGTTTTCACACAGCGATCTCCTCAAATTGCGCATCGCTGATTCTTTGTAGGATGCTATTTGTCGCAATGGTTCAGTCCAAAGCCGAATGGTTTGCTCCTTGTCCGGCGTTTCTCATCGCTGATTGGTCTTTTGACTTTCCGGGGCAGTGACGGTGCCTGTTGGGATTGGCGCGAAGCTGTTTCGTCCAGGCGGACAAAGAGCTGCCTCAGATTTTTAGTTTTATATTTGTAAATTTGGGGTTTGATATCAAGTGCATTATCATGGCTGATAAAGAAGGTAATTCCCGCGTATTTTCATTTAACGAAAATATTAGACTCCTCCTATTTCATCCACAATAGAAGTCAACATAGCATAGCCGCTAGCTACTCGGTAATGTGTGTGCCGGTGTTTTCGTGTGATAGAGGCCCTACGGTGGCTGTAGTTGAGTCCCGCCAAACCGGTAATTAGCATAACTACCTCGACTAGCCGATTTAACTAGTGCTTAGTTGAATTAATGTAAAGTGACTTTGCTTATCTCTCGTGGTGGGGATTATCTGGGCGTTTCGACGTGTTGCTTGCACGGTTTAGCTAAATCTGAATTGCGCGTTAATGATGGTCTGAAAAGCACGGTGGAGTGTGGATGCTAGCTTTGCGCCAGTGTCTTATTCTCTATGCCGGTGAAAATCTTATCTTGATATTGAAATTGTGAATTAGCCACGATTAATCACATGATGTAGTTACCAGGGTATTCTGACAATCGTGTACGGTGCATGACCGAAAGAGCCATTTAAACCAGCATTCAGCTTATACTTTCGACTAATGATGCTGAGCTTTTGTATATGAGGGTTATTAACAGCTCCCCCCATTAGGTACTTAGGCTGCGAAAAAAGGTACTCCTGATCACTTTATTTTATTGTTGAATGAAGTGTGTGCATTTTGGAGGATTGAACTTTTCTGCATTTCGACACCCGATCCTTCGCGAAATGTTGACTGTCTGGGTAAATGGCACCGATCACCACGTGTAAATGTTTGTTTGCTCTGCGTGTACAGCAGCGTTCGATGATGCTGTGGAGGAAAGGGTGATAAACGAGGAGTACAAGATCTGGAAGAAAAACACCCCTTTTCTGTACGACCTGGTGATGACCCATGCTCTGGAATGGCCTAGTCTGACGGCGCAATGGCTACCAGACGTTACCAGGCATGTTTTCTTTCTTGATTTGCTACTGATTATCCTTATTGACAGCGTTCTGTTTCTTTGCTGGCTTTACATATTAAATCAGAGGTATTCAAACTGTGGGGTGCAGGAGAGGGGGGGAAAAACAGAACTATGTAGGAAGGTTTCAGCTTGGGGGCAGGTTTATTTTGAAATTGCAACCTTCAGAAATATTAAGAATAATATGATCATATCACGCTAACATATTAAAATAATAAACAGGCACCATGTATTGAAAGTACTGTTTTGAGTAGTAACTTAATGGTAGTTTATTCTGGGAAGGTCATTAAGTTAATGCTTATATACTTGGAGGAACCAGAGAGAAATTTCTGGCTTGTCAGTGGCGCCCTCAAAAATTTTAGGGCACAAAGATCAGGGCTAAAGAACATGTCAGAGGTGCTTAAGCCCCTGGTAAACAGCCCTGGTGATGCCCATGATAAAGACATTGGTTATCGTATGCTTAAGAGCGTATCAAAGAAAGCAAAACACTAAAGAATTGCAAGTGATTGAGTGACATTTCATAAGTTTGATTCGGTCACATTTGAATTAAAGTAGTTCAGTTAGTGTTGCATGTTGAGTAAATTAAAATGACCGCAGGGAATTTACCAATCAGTTTTAGTCTGATGCCTGCCTTTGGCGCTCTGCAGGCCTGAGGGGAAGGACTACAGTGTCCACCGGCTTGTGCTTGGTACACACACCTCGGACGAGCAGAACCACCTGGTCATCGCCAGCGTGCAGCTGCCGAATGATGATGCCCAGTTTGACGCCTCCCACTATGACAGTGAGAAAGGAGGTGAGACCTGTCTGCCGTGTCACGTCCCAGAAAAACAAAGACACCCTCAGTGTATTATTGTCTCCTGTAATCTCTCAATGTGTCTCATCTGGGCAGAGTTTGGAGGCTTTGGGTCTGTGAGTGGGAAGATTGAGATTGAGATCAAGATAAACCATGAGGGAGAGGTGAACCGTGCTCGCTATATGCCACAGAACCCCTGCATCATCGCCACCAAGACGCCCACCAGCGACGTGCTGGTCTTCGACTACACCAAGCACCCGTCAAAGCCAGGTAGCATGTCCCGTCTGTCTCGCAAGGGGGCGGAGCCCAGTGCCTGTCTACTTGTTTTGCGTGTGTTGAAAAGCCTACAGATACTAGCATTTGGTTCCTCAATTTTGCTGTGAACTTTTACAGTAGGATCTGTCTGGCTTGAAATGTTATTGCAATATCTAGCTTAATTTTTGTGCACACTTGTCGATTTGGCAGTGTGTCCTGCATGCAGCAGAAAGTGCAGTGCACACTCCCCGTCCTTGTTTGACGTGCGTGTCCCTGTGCCCTGCAGACCCCTCCGGGGAGTGCACCCCTGACCTTCGTCTGCGGGGCCACCAGAAAGAGGGGTACGGCCTGTCCTGGAACCCGAATCTGAGCGGCTGCCTGCTAAGTGCCTCTGATGATCACGTGAGACCTCTTCCTTTGAACATCCTGGTTTTGCTGAGTTTGATGTGTCCCTAGGTCAGTGAGGGAGGGGCTTGTGTTTCACTACTTTAACCAATCACAATCTTCATCGTATGACATCACCACATTGGTGTCTGTTTTATCTCCCCCTCATTTTCAACTCAAGGCTTCTAGTCATCTAGCGTGAGGCAGCATGTGGCCACAGGGTTGCTGGTTCAAGCCTTATTATCATTATTAATAATAATATTATTGATATTATCATGACATAGACACACCCTTACATTCTTCATTTGCAGCTGAGCATATTTCTGTGATTTATCTGTGTTTATGACATTGGCATTAACAAAAGGCTCAGCGGGCGAGTCTCTGTGCCTGTGATCAGAAGGTTCCAGTTCGCCAGCCTCGGCAGATCAGTCACATGGCTGTGGGCCCGTGAGCCAGGCCCTTAACCCCCAGCTCCAGGGATGCTGCATGATGGTTGACCCTAAACCATGACCTCCACGCTATGAATATGAGATGGGGTTGGCAAAAAGATGAATTCCTATGTACCTGTACTTGTGCGATGGCCAATAAAATTATTATTATTATTACAACATTTAGACATCTGTGTGCCTTAACATGTGCTGCTTAAGAAAAAACATAGGATTGACTTAATGCAGTGATGTCATACAATCACTGGCTGGTTAAAGAAGTGAATGGCGAGCCCCTCCCTTGTTGACCCAGTTCCTTTACCCATTTATGAACTTACCACCTGATATTGCATGTGAAATGTTAAACTTCCTGCACGCCACCAGGCTTCTCTTCACTAGCGTAGTGCTTTGGACTCTGTGTTCCCTGTATTGCATTAGTGCAATGAATCAAACATTGTTCGTCTGTCTATTGTAACATGCAATTATGTAGTAGTCAGTTTGCTGTAGAAATGTCATTAACTTTAAGGCTGGCATACTTTTATTACACATGCATCTTCCTGAGCTGTTGGGTGTCAGAGGAGTTGCCGTAGAAATGTGCAGTGAAGATAAATATTGTGTGTGGCGGTCGGCGTCTTGTAGACGATCTGCCTGTGGGACATCAGCACTGTCCCGAAGGAGGGGAAGGTGGTGGACGCCAAGACCATCTTCACGGGACATACGGCCGTGGTGGAGGATGTTTCCTGGCACCTGCTGCACGAGTCGCTCTTCGGCTCCGTGGCTGACGACCAGAAGCTGATGATGTACGCCTCCCTCCGCGTCTGTCTGCCAGCTGCCTTGTTCGCTCTCTCAGCCAGCTGTTCGGTATTCTGCTGAGATGTTGATGCCCTTCTATTTTAGTGTTCTGTAGACTTTTCCCCTTTTGATACCTGGTTTAGTTCCTTCGCTTTTCTGTTTGCTGCTTTTGCAAATGCGCTTTTGTCGTAAAACTCACTGCAGGATAGTGTCTCGTTATAGTTTGCAAAGATCGGGAAGAATGTCGAGAAGCGTACATGGCATAAGCTCTTCATCAGATGTGCTTGTTATTGAGGTTTTTGTGGTAAACCGGGTTTGTGTGTGTGGTTTATATCCAGCTGGGACACCCGGTCCAATAACACGTCCAAGCCAAGCCACGCAGTCGATGCCCACACCGCTGAGGTCAATTGCCTCTCCTTCAACCCCTACAGCGAGTTCATCCTGGCCACTGGCTCTGCTGACAAGGTTCGGGTTAATATTTTGTTTTCAGGATTGGTGGGTGGGAATCACTGGGCTGCACCATCTCTGCTTTGGCAAGTCCTAAATGCTAGCAGGGGTTATGGTCTAAATGACTAATTTCTTTCTGATATGAGGTTATGGCTTGGAGCCTGTGGTTATAGTTCATAGACTATGGTGTGTTTGTGAAACACTTGTTTTCAAAAGGATTTTCTTCCCCCGTTTTTTTTTTTTATTATTTCTGCAGTTAATGAGTCTTTTTTGCTTTTCTCAGACTGTGGCACTTTGGGATCTCCGGAATTTGAAGCTAAAACTGCACTCTTTCGAGTCCCACAAGGATGAGATCTTCCAAGTAAGTGCCGCTCTCTGATCGGGGCCCAGCTGACTTTTAAACTTAGTTTGCCTACAGCTTACAGGACCAAAGCGTTTGCTTTGCCGGTTTCTTGAACTCGGAACCTGGAACGTTCCATCTCTGATGCTTGTGAATGTACCCACAGGTGCAGTGGTCCCCTCATAACGAGACTATCCTGGCCTCCAGTGGAACCGACAGGCGGCTGAACGTTTGGGACCTCAGGTGTGTTGCGGGCTGCGGTTCTGTGGCCCCCTGTTGCTTCTCACCCTCATCCGAGGCGACAACAGGCTTTTGGCACCTTAATTGAAAACCTTGGCACACGAGTCCCAGCATCTTCTGAAAGTCCTCGAAAACCTGCTATTGCCTGTGCTGTGGTTTAGGTGTGGCTGTCTACCACCCACCATTAATATTTTTTTTTCTTTTGGCCTGGAAGTCTGTTTTTGAAATTCAGTAAATGAAACCTTATGCGGATGGCAGCAGCGATGCGCTGGTGTTTGGGGACAGTTTGTTTCTAAGACGATCGGCTTTCAGGTGGACTGAGTCCTTCAAAGGCACCTCAGGCTTGGATGTTTTCCCACGTTGTGCTTTTGAAAACTAACAAATGAATGTAACGTTCTCTGTTTACAGTAAAATCGGAGAAGAGCAGTCACCCGAGGATGCGGAGGACGGCCCCCCAGAACTGCTGGTGAATGTTAATTCCCCTTTTACTTTCACAAAAGTAGGGTAATGGTTGCCCCAGTGTTTGTAATCATTTACTTTTCACTCCAGTTCATCCATGGTGGTCACACAGCAAAGATCTCAGACTTCTCATGGAATCCCAATGAACCCTGGGTCATCTGTTCTGTCTCCGAGGACAACATCATGCAAGTTTGGCAGATGGTGAGCCGCTTTATTTTTAGTGGCGATCCTGAGGTGTGAGGTCAGGGTTTTCTACAGCCTGCTGATTAGCTAGTCTGCCCGGCTTCCAGCTTGGATAGGTGACCGACTGACCGGCTTCTCCCTCGTGTTTTCAGGCAGAGAATATCTACAACGATGAGGACCCAGAAGGGGCAGCAGATGCTGAAGTCCAGGGTTAAGGAGCCCCCCCACCCACCCTATGAGAGCGGGACTTGAGTGTTCCCTTTATTTTTCCAAATTTTGACTTCAGTGGCACCCAGTGCCAGCCAGTCCCTCTTGTGTGTCCCTCCGATTGGATGAAAGGCTGTTCTCCATTGTAGATCAATCATTTTATTGGCTGGAAGCTTCCACTCTCAGAACCAAGATGTTTCAACAAAAGGCAAGCTCATTTTGCCTGTTTATTTGTGGTCAGTTATAATTTCCCACCCTTGCTTCCATCTGCTTTAATGTTCATTTCCTTGTCATTTGAAATCTTAGTTTATTTGTGAAATCTTAGTTTATTTGTGCGTTAATCCCAGTGTTTCTAAATGCAGTGCAAATTTCTTCTGGGCATATGAACGTGGGATGAAAAGGAATTTTTTATTCTCTTTAGATTCTGTGGAAATGTCTAAAATAAGGGTTAGCATTTCCCAAGTCACATATGTGCGTTTCTATCCGAAACACTTTGGCACAGTTAACAGTGACCTTACGTGCTGCCAGAATTTCCCAGATGAGTTTAAAACTTAATTTGTATCTGTCCCTTGTTTTTTTTTACTTGCTGACTGTTGGGCAGTTAGTGTTTTCTTTTTTTGGTTGCCCCCCCTCACGCCACAGTCTTATTGTAATAATGCCTGTATACAGTACTTCTCTGTCATTCACATTTTGTCAAATTAATTGTATAAAATATGATTCTGAGTAAATGTGTTTTCTATCTATGTTGGCGTCTTTCTTTTGATGTCAAGTTTTGCTAACTGAAGCGGGTGCTGCTTTCCTCTGCCCTGCTGCACTTTTCAGCACGGTGATGCATTGAGGCGTGATCTTGGCAGTAATGTCCTGCAGCTCTTTATCTGAAATTACCTCTGAGGACTCCAGCTTGCACGTCTCTGTGGTGATACCAGTATCACTATGGAGAGAAAATGTTCGGGATGTAATGTTCTGTAAATAACTGAAAGCTGGCTTGGAATGTCGACAGTTTTTTTGCTTCTCGAATGAAACTGGAACTGTGTTTAATAGCCGTCGCTTAGGACTTAAGATCTGAGCTGCTGTTGTGGTCTACACCTACATCTTGTGGGCAAAAACATGCGTGACATTCAACATAAGGGATGGAAAAGTTTTGGATTAGATTCACTCAATTAGAAAAGCACTAACACCTTTAGCCGATTTAGAAAGTGACCCCATTGGGTGAAGATATTATTTGATTATTAAAGGCACACAAAGGTTCAACAGGAAAAAAAAAAACTTGTTTGTTCTCTTGGCATTCGTTTCTGGTGGCGTAACAGTTGTCCCAGAAGTCATGTTTCTTCCTTCATGGCAGGTCCTGCTGTTTTTCGGACTTCATCGCTGTACCTACAAAGAGAGATGCGTGCGTCTTACAAACTGAGGGAGTATTTGTGTGGGACGGTGACGTGCTGCTGCGGTGCATGTTAACACGGCCCCCCCGCGACGGCCCCTTCTGAACGGATGCCTGCCTGTAGGTTCTCAGCTCCTCCTCAAGGCCTCTCTTCACATTCTCTATATCCTGATTTTTCTTTTGCTGAATTTCAGTCTCTGTTTTCAGGTGCCGCCTGTTCTCTTCGAGGGCATCCAGCGCCTCCTATTGGAAAAATGCAAATCCTTTAGCTTATGTAAACGGAACATTTTATTGTGTGTGGAGGAACTCCATGTATTGTTCTATGTCTTCGGCTTTAAGGGGGGTAAAGTCAGGAAACTCAAGTAATTAACCATTTGAGTGTTTTATGTATGTATTTGCAAAATGAATTTGATTCTCCATGGACTGCTGAACAGGCAGCCAGGGCCTGTACTCGGGTAACTCTTGGGACATTAATAAAGCACCGATAATCAGGATAATATTTACCTGCAAAAAAATTTATGCAAACTGATAAAATATTTTAAATAAAAGCCTGAATTCCATCCATGTTTTTGAATAGAGAGGTTATGCCTGAGCAAACAAACCAGCGGCTTTGACTTCATGCCCCTTTCATCACATTCATTCTGCAATCCGTGCTCCTTCTGATGCATCTTGCTTTCTATTTTACTGGTTCCCTGCATGTTCTTTGCTCTCTTTTTCTCCTCCTGCTTTTGGCCCATGTCTCCCCCACATGTTATTTATCTGGCCGCTGTGTGGAGTCACTGGCCCTGTGCCTCTAATACTCTCATCCAGAGGTGCCGATAAAGATTTTGGACGTGCTCTGTACCCAGTACTGGCCCAGGTTCTCCTGCCCCGCAGACCCTGTGTTCTGTACCCGGTGCTGGCTAAGGTTCTCCTGCCCCGCAGACCCCGTGTTCTGTACCCGGTGCTGGCTAAGGTTCTCCTCCCGCTCCTGCTGCATCAGCGCCAGTCGCTCCTCCAAGTAGGCTTTCTGAAGGGCCAGCCTCTGCGCCTCCTCTCTGAGGGGACTCAGCTGTGCCCGTAGCTCCCGGGACTCCTCCCGGCACCTCCTGGTGGCCTCGGCGCTCGCTTGCCTCCGTGCCAGCAGGGCCTGGAGCCTGGGCTCGTAGAGCTCCTGCAGGGCCTGCACCCCGCTCTGCAGCTGCTGCTGGATGGCGCGGGATGCCTCGCGACACTGGGACAGCTCGCCGGCCGCGGGGGGCGGCTCCGCACCGCTCAGCTGGCTCTGCAGGTCGTTGAGGTGGTTCTGCTGGTCCAGCTGCAGTCGGGCCGCCTCCTCAGTGAGACGCAGAAGTTCGGCTTGGAGCTTCTCCTTAAAGAGCATTCACAATGCAGACTGAGATAGCTTATTTAAGAACATTTACCAAGTCATACTGGGCTACGAGAAGATGGTGCTCATACTGCTTCAGTGAATTATCCAGCTGTATGAACCACAAAATGAATGAGGTTTTCCCTTTATAAAAGCACCTGACAAGTTAATGCAATAAACCTGTACGCATGACAGAGGTAACTAATAGGCACCATTGACCATCAACTTGAAGCTGGAAGATAGATGGAGAAATTAAACAGACATCATTTCATAAATGTCTTGTTTTGGAGATTTTCTTAAATGCGCTTAAGTATTTAATCTCTTAAACACATATAGGAATTGCTTAATTCTGACGACTAACTTCTGCAACCCTTTTGACTGAATTAACTTTACTTTATACTTTACACTTTATTTGATATGTTATTGATCCCTGGGGGGGGTAATTCTCTTTACGCCTCTCTGTAGGTGAGGGCAGCCACCCATTGCAGCTCCGCTGGGAACTGGGGGTTAAGGGCTTTGCTCAAGGATTCACAGACCTGCCAAGGCCAAGTTTGAACCAGCAATCTTCTGATCACAGGCGCAGAGACTCAGCCCACTGAGCCACACACACTGCCCCCTGACTCAACTTCCCTGACTGAACTAATCTGTCCATTCTTTTGTGTTATGCATTCAAATAGAAGTGTGGAACTAACACAGGATGCAACCCTGCACAACCAGGACAGGGCAGTCTAGGATTATGGGATGTTTCAGCACCTGCGTGATGACTGACTCCTTGACGTCACGCTGCAACGTGTCCAGGAAGATCCGACTCTGGGTGCACTCCCTCACGACGGCAAAGAGGCGCTTGCGGACACCCAGCACTTCTCCTCGCAGGCTCCGCCTTTCCAACTCTGATTGGGCGAGCTGCCGCCACACCTTCGCCAGCTCCGCCCTCAGCTCCTGGGCTTCCCGTGCCATTGGCTCCTCCAGCGCCAGCAGCTCGGCCACCAGCTGGTCCCGGTGCCGCTCGAGGGCACCCACTTGTGCGATGCACGCCTCGAACCGGAGACCCAATTCCCCCAGGACTGCCTCGTCGCTTGGCCGTGTCGTGGAGTCGCCCCTGGAACTATCCCGTTCCGCCGAGTCCTCGAGTTGTGCCACCAACTCTCGTGTGCACTCCTCCAGCTGCGTGCTAATCTCTCCCAGGCACCCCTCGATTTGGCTGTCCATGCCTCCACTCTGCCCCAGTAGCAATGCCCCCAGCTCATGCAGGCATTCTTCAAACTGGACACTCAGGCCTTCCAGGGACCCTCTGGGATCTTCTGCTGCACCTTCTAGCTGGACTCCTGCCCAGTCCATGCTCTCTCCGAACTGCAGCATGATGCCCTCAGAGTAAGACTTGGTATCAGTCCCAGATTCCTCCATCTGGTCCTTAAACTGTAAATCAGCCTCCTGCATGCGATTCCCTTCAGTCCCAACACTGGCCTCCTGTAAAATCCCCCAAGTAGGTTTCAGCTGGCTTGGGGCCTCTTTGCTATCCATTGTCAGTCTGGAAAAAAATGAAGCAGCTCCTTAAGTCAAACAAAGTCACCCGCACCATTCGTTAATGGTGTTTTTGGGCCCATTAGGAGAACTGCACGACTGATGCAATCAGAGTTACCAAGGTGCTCGAGACTGATCCACGATCTGTTTGTTCATGCAGCAGTGGAATGTCACCTCATGTTATGTCAAACCGCAGACGTTGGGTTTCAGTGGACCGAATCCCAAATGGCGTTTATTCTTAGACTATTTATTTTAGAAGAATCCAGCCTGGGTAGAGTCAGTCTTGGCCTTCGTTCAAGCCTGCTCAAAAAGCCCCAGCAATTGTGTGACTGCAGGGCATGATAATTGCCTGGTTTCTTGTGTAGGAACCTTGCCACCTCCTCCTCCAAAGTTGCTCCAGGTTATTTCACAACAGGCTTATCATACCCTTCAACTATATCCTATCTATTCCCACCTTGATTATCTTATCACTCCTCACGGTCTTTCCAGAGATCGAATACTCTCTTTGCAAACTTTAAAAACCCGAATGATCAACCCGCGACTTGCCTTAGCAACTTCACGAGCCAGCAGTTATCAGTTTGAAACGGCATGTTAAGGAACCATTCAGGTCAGAATAACGTTGAGGCAGAACTCAACAAGAGCCAGACCGTGACAGATATAGTTCCAAACATAAACCAAACCCACCGTCTCCATGGCAATGGGGCCCTGCTCTACCGCCAGTGAACTTACCAAAGTGCAGCTGCCTCATGTGGATCTTCTTTTTCTGGTCCAGCAACGTCTGAGCAAATAGCGCGAATGAAGAGAGTCGCCCTCCTCTTTTCTCATATCCCCTGGCAGATCGTCTCCAGGAAAACAGAGGATCTGTTTTGGTTTATTAATATATCCCCGAGAGGAACACAAGCCTGTGTCTCATCCCATACCCTTCCCGGCCAACTGAGAGGAGATCAGATAGCAAATCACACCGATCCAAGTAGGATCTCAGAGGGGAGGGACCTTCTGTCGTCCGCTGACATCATCCATGCCTTAAAGGACGAGACAGACCCATGTTTGGACATGGCCCCAGGGTCAAACTGTGGTCGCGCCCAGGAGGAAGCTAAGGGGGGCACAGCAGTGCCTCTACAGCCCAATACTCAAAGCAAGTATTACTGAAATAGGGTTAAATATGTTATAAACCAGGCTTGCATATATGTTATCTGAATGACTGCAGGTCTGGCATATCTTACATTCTATTGCTCATTCCATAAAGTTAGCTATTCTAACTTTAAATATACTGGTGTAAATAAGGAACTGTGTCGCTGTACATAACCACACGCAGTATTTGCAATATCCCAGTATTGACTGTGATAAGTTAAAAGTGAACTTAAAAATCTTGTACCACTCCGGCACAGAGGAACATTGTTCAGTTCTCCATAATCGAATATCACAGCACTTAGTCCTCTGAAGTCACTGCTCTTTAATAGAACATAACATACTTTCAGTCGTGAAATACAATACTGCATCCTTGATGAGCAAAACGGCGCATTCACAGAGTCCAAAAAAAAAGCCCAGGAGCACGGTTCTTCCAGAGAGGGAGCAGCAAGGCATTTTGTAGTCTGCATGTTAAAGGAGACACACAGGAAATTTGTAAATGTGAAATAAAATAAAACACAAGATGTTTTCTCAAAAAGCAAGTTAGCTAGCAAGATTAACATTGGTTTAGCTAGTTAGTAAGTTAGCAAGATGTTTACAGAAAGTACATGAGTAAATCCACAGAACAGAGACCGTGATGAAAGGACGCTACACTCTGTGCTGCCAAAATACGGATAAATGCTCAGATTAAAAGCATTCAGAATTTAACATTCTACCCTGTTTGAAAGCACTCACACCCTATTAAATATGATGTGCATAGATGAAAATGTAAGGGAGGAACTGGGATGATTGTGGATGGTTGTAGTATGAGACAATGCTGAAGTGACTCATAAAGCCTCGAGTGTATTATTTATGTAATGCCTAACATTGCCACAAGATGGCACTGCAATCCATTTTTATCAAGGCCTTCAGGATCTGCAGTACAGTTTTGCAGGCAGTGTCTCATGGGAGAGACCACCAGGAGGGACGTTTCAGGTCCAGAAAGTAAAAATCCAGTTTCAACCAACCAGGTGAGTTCTCTGTGACTGTGACTTATACTAAGCTGGTTGAAACAATCTCTTGATCCGGATTTTTACTTTCTGGACCTCAAATGTCCACTTCTAGAAGACCACGTGTACTGCCTACTCATGTAGTTTCATAAGCATCGGTAACAATAAAAATTCACCTAAAACATCTATCTGGCCTTCATGAAGTGTAATTTAATAATATACATGTAGATGGGATGTAGAAAGATTTTAAAAAGTCATTGAGGCTGCCAAGAACCGTGTGTCACATGGGCTGTGATATGGCACTCGGGGCCAGAACGATTGTTTACACACCAGGTACAGCAGAGGTGGCTGGTCCATAGAAGCAGAGGTAGGGTCGCTTCTATTTCTGAGATTAAATTATAAAAGAAGTAACTTTGAAGTAACTCATTATATATAGTTTTGTTGTAATTTAAAAACACGTTTTTCCTCTTTGAGAAAATTCACTATTAAAATCCTGGGAAATGTATTATCCTCTTACCTCCTCAAAATTTGTAACCCCTAGCCACCCCTGATGTACAGACTTTCAGTGGAGACATTTGTCCAGAAAGCGTAACTAGAGAACTCAGTGAGTCTGACTCTGTCTGGTCACATGCACGTTTTGGCACTGTATTAATGGCATGGCAAGAATTGTGCAATTACATGATTAATACAGTGTAATATAATTTAGTTCCATCCTTAATATTAGCACATCAATCTTCTCAGAAAGGTTGGGGGCTGCTGCTTATTTATGGCAGCGTGGAACATCCCAGTCATGCGAGACATGCGGGGCACGTACAGGCACATGCTCGGCAATTCAGGCGTGCCAGTTCCCCCGAACAAACATTCCACCGGCCCTTTAATCGAGCCCCCCGCCCCAGAGTGACAATCCGGGGCGGGGACACGGCATACGCTGAACTGGGAAATGGATGACGGGGCAACATTGACTGCCTTCTGAGCAACGGTGTGTTACTACCAGAGAGGGAGTATGTTACTATCAGAGAGGGAGTATGGCCTGCAGATCGCGAGAGGCACTTTCTGTCTCCCTACAGTGAAAGAGGCAGCCAGTAACTCAAGACCGAGATGGTGCATAATGCATGCTGTCCATTACGCAGAAAATGATTGGAGGAGGTTGGAGGTGGGTGTAGCTGGGCGGTGCCTGTCCAAGGCTCAGATGCCGCCTTGTGATCTCTGTGCTTTGTTTGTATGATGCTTCATGTCTTCATCATCGTACCCCAACCCTATAATCCGTCCTGGGAGCGGAGTGGCAGGACCACCTTGTCTCTGTAAGCCTGGAATGACCCATGCGTGGGTGCCTCACCCTGGGGCAGTGGTTGAAGGCCTATTTGCCACCCGCCCCACTCAAAATTGCCGGGTTCTTTGCTGAGGAACTCATGAGTTAACTGTCACGCCAACACTGAGTCAACGGGGCAGTGGAGCAGGTAGCCGGTCATGCTAACCAACCCGCTAAGGGTGTGTCCCAAGAACCTCACACTGAAGCTTTTTAATCTTCTCAATGAATCATCGCGGCTCTGAGGAATTTCCTATTGGACGGCCCTATATTCAGCGGCTTTCTGCCCCTTTCCTGTAGAATGCCTTGATAATGCGGCCTCATTTGAGTCCATTAAGGCATAACCAATGAGGCAAATTCCTACCCTAACCCTGCCTTGGTCAGGGTGTGTTCTGTACTAGAATGCCCCCATTCCTCTTGCATTAGTTTGGAGTGGATTACCATGGACTCAGAGAATGGACACTATCCTGGACGCCGCCTTTGTCCAAAGCAAACAAAACAAAAAAATGATTTTGTGGGAGAGTGAACATCAGACACAGCACAGTCATCTTGCAAATGAAGCTACATCTGTTTCCAGTGCAGACGAATTTCCACCTGTGCTTGCCTGGGTTTTCCGGTCATTAGAAGTACAAAGTAACTGACCACAGGCTAGCTCTATTTTTACTGCTCTCTTTAAACCCTTTTCTTTCTCAAAACTGGGCTGACGGAGTAAACTGCTAACATCAGGAGGCAAATATGATAACGAGGCAGTTTGGCTCGTTAGAGGGCTTTAGTATTGGGATTGACAGCCCTGCTTGTGCCTCATAATTAGCAGGTCCAAGGTACCAGTAGGGAACCTTGTTTCCACACATTTTTGCCTGTTAGTAACCCTGCCCATCCCTCCTCCCTCCCTATTCCCCCCTTCACACGCCCTTGGGTACTGCCCCCCCCCTTTTTTCCATGGTAACTTGGACACAAGGGCATGTTCACACAGCTCGTTAGCATTTCTTATCTCTTCCCGGGATGCTCGAGCAATCTGGGAGGTGTGAGTGAGGCGCACTCACACACCTACTCACACACCTACCTCTTTCTCAAACCTGGGAAAGGAAACTTCCACAATAATCAGGCCTCGGGTCATGGTGCTGCATTAATGCCGCCTGCATTGGCCGGGGAGGGTGGCATCGTGCACAGGGGACCGTTTGCTTCACCGTCCGTCCTTGTCAGCCTAGGGTGACCACCTAATCCATGTCGGGGGGGGCGGGGGGGGGGGTCGGGGGCGCTCTAAGATACTTCATAACTGAAATCTGTGCTTTGCTAAATAGTTCAGTTCTTCTTGTGTTCTGACTTGTTTGTTTCCTTGTTTGAGAGACTCATTCAGCTGTTTCACATTAACATTAGTGACACATGCATGACTATAGGAGACTGACCAATCAGCACACAGCAAGAACTGAAGTGAAATCTGGGTCCTTTTTAATTGAAATGGTTGAAATGGTAGCTTACAACCCCCTCTGACATGGATTAGGTGGTCACCCTATGTCTGGAAGTGGCCAGCCGTGGTAGTGGCCTTCAGGTCTGAGGTCAAACAGCACCATGCAGTGACTCCTTACTTCATGGAACCACACTCTCCGTCCGCGAAGCGGGGGGGGGTCTGGGCATTTTTTGTAGAAACCAAACATTTGCTCAGGGGCTCTTGAGTGTTGTTGCTTTGAAATGTGTCTATGCCTGTGTCTATGCCTGTGTCTGTGCCTGTGTCTATGCCTGTGCCTGTGTCTATGCCTGTGTCTGTGCCTGTGTCTATGTCTGTGCCTGTGTCTGTGCCTATGCCTGTGTCTGTGCCTGTGTCTATGCCTGTGTCTATGTCTGTGCCTGTGTCTATGCCTGTGTCTGTGCCTGTGTCTGTGCCTATGCCTGTGTCTGTGCCTGTGTCTATGCCTGTGTCTGTGCCTGTGTCTNTGCCTGTGTCTATGCCTGTGTCTGTGCCTGTGTCTGTGCCTATGCCTGTGTCTGTGCCTGTGTCTATGCCTGTGTCTGTGCCTGTGTCTGTGCCGGTGTCTAGGCCTGTGTCTATGCCTGTGTCTGTGCCTGTGTCTATGCCGGTGTCTATGCCTGTGTCTGTGCCGGTGTCTGTGCCTGTGTCTGTGTAAATCTGGGGAGTCGGGAGAGTGCTGTCGGCTCCGGGATCATTCCGACCTCCTATCCATGGGTTCTTGAGCTGTTCTGCCAGGAGACAGACCCGTTCTATGACACCCAATTTGACTTTCTGCATGTTCGCTGTGGATGGCGCTATTGAGCACTCGTGCCACAGTCAAGCTGGTTACGATGAAACAAGTTTTATGCCTGTCATTCTCATGAAAAATGCACTGTTTACACGTACATCTAGTCCCTAGCATTTCGCTTATAAGCCCTCTGAGTTTAAACGCAGGTGACAAAGGTGAAGCATTGTTGGGGTTTTTGTCCTGTTGTAACATTTCCTTTGTTTTGATTTTCCAGACTGGTTATTTGTACTTGTCCCTTGTTCCAGATGCACACAGCAGCTGGTCAGACTGGGTTTCTGTTGCCCGTTAATCTTGCCCAGTCGTACTCTAGAACATCAAGTGCCTTTGATTAACTGTCACGTGGTGCCTTTCCTCGAAATAACAGCCATTCGTCACAGGGAGGTGGGGAGAGCAGAGGGAGATGACGTCGAGCTGTTCTCTTACTCAGCTCTTCCAGATGTGGCCACAGGGATCTGGAGCCAGACCC